TGGGCTTGGGTGGAGCCCAAGTTCTGGGACTTTCCCACCTTACAGGGTCCTAGAGCCCAGGCTCCAGCCCAAGTCTGGATGTCTACTGCACAGTTAAACAGCCCCGTAGCCCAGTCCTCGAGAGCCCAAGTCAACTGACACGGGCCAGCCGCGGCTTTTTAATTTCAGTATAGACATGAAGGGCTGGGGCAGTTTCAACCCATTGCTTGTGCCAAGAGTGGCCTTGTGAGAGTTTATAGTTGGAGCTGTGATTACCCTTTCCTCCCCCAGGCTGCACGAGTTTGGTTTGTTTTGGGTATTTGAAGCAGCTCTTGCAGTCTTTTCCCAGGTGCTTGAATTAGGGGTGCTTAGAGCAGGAAAGTTAATCACCATAGTATTTCATTTGCTGGTTTGTGAAATTGAGAGCTTCTGCCCATTAGCTTGGTCTCCTTTCAGTTGTTTCATTAAAGGGATGGTCTCCCTAGGATGTAGGGGGTTGGTGGGGAGGAGAAGGATAGTCTTGTGGGTAAGGCACAAGAGGGGGACTTAAGAGATCTGCATTCAGTTCCTGACTCCTTGTGTGACTTCAGCGAAGTCATTTAACCCGTGCCTCAGTTTGCAGTCTGTGAGAAAGGGATAATGATACTTCCTTTCTCCTCATGTCTCTGTAGACTGGAATAAGCTCTTTGGGGCATGAATGGTCTCTTACTGTTTGTGCAGCACCTGGCACAAGGCAGGACAATGTCAGTGGGGCTCTCAGGGTGCTATCGTAGCACAAATAATTAATAACTGGCTCAGTGTGGCAGACCTTTTCCCAGAGATTGATACTACCTGAACTCCAGTGTTGTAGTGCAGCGAACTGCTCTGAGTTATAGATGAAAGGAGCAATCCAGTTTCCACTAAAGTTAATGGGATTGTTTCCACTGACTTCAATGGAAGTGGGATCAGGAACTTGCTGAGTGCAGGGGATTCCCTTCCTTTCCTGTCCCTCCCTCCCCCTTTTGACTTAGCCAGCAAAAGTACATTTTTGTGCTTTGGAAAAGTCCCAAGGCAGCACACTCTCCAGCTCTCCTCCTGCCCTTGTGGCTCAGTGTACCATACTGGGGGAGGAAGAGGTCACTGTGCTGAGGGTGCCCTGGGCTGCTGACACATAAACCTCTGCAATTTTCCATCTGCACTCAGATCACAGAAAGGAACTTTGTAAAACAGGAAGTTAAGCAATGTGTGGAAATCTGCTTCCCCCACCTTCCTCCTCTATGGCTCTGGATAGTTTTGTTTCATTTATTCGCTGTGACCTCTCATTATTTCCAACAGAGAAACAACAGTATATGTGAAAATCCTTATGTTGGCCAGACGATATTCTGCCCTCAAGTAGGAAGTAACATTGTGAGAGAGATGGTGGGCTTGATTCAGATCTCACACCAGTTTTACGATGTTGTAGTTCCATTGACTTCAGTGGAGTTACTCCCAGTTTACACTGGGGTAGGTGCGAGCAGAATCTAATGCAGGCTTTTTCTTTAACTCATCGCCACTTCCACTTGTATAGGAGTGTGAAGCCACTCACTCCCTTTAGGGATCTATTTAGGGCCAGAATGTAACCCAGCTTAATATGGCATAGAGGGGAATACTGGGGGCAAAGAGAGGGGAGAATCCCGCCATGCTCGAACTCCCTGCCTGATGGTTGAGGTGCTGGGGGAGACCAGGGACTGCATGCCCAGGACTCCCACCAAAGCAAGTGGCCGGAAAGGGGTGGGAAATGGGGGGAGCCTTGGCTCTGAATCCCCAGTAAGCTGGCCAGAAGAGTAAGCTGCACCCGGGAAAGGACATAAATCAGCTACCTATCTCTGGGAGCAAAGAAAGAATCGAGTCTCTGAGGGTGTGTCTACACTGCAAGTAGACAACCGCAGCTGTCCTGTGCCAGCTGACAGGCTAAGGGGTTCGGGTTGAGGGGCTGTTTAATTGCAGTGTAGATGTTTGGGCTCGGGCTGGATCCTGTGAGGTGGGAGGGTCCCAGAGCTCAGCCTGAGCCTGAATGTCTACATCGCAATTAAACAGCCCTGCAAGCCTGAACCCCGTGAGCCCAAATCAGCTGGCACGGGCCAGCCGCGGGTGTCTAATTGCAGTGTAGACACATCCTGAGTTCCTTCTCAGTGTCTTTTTCACCCCCCGGAGTGACACAGGGTACAGCGACCTAAGCGCTTTAAGTTAGATTGACTTAAGCGGAAGTGTAGACCTGCCCTAAGACTGAAGCCTCAATCGAGTCCTTATTCAGTAATGACTAGAGCTGACTGGCAAATGACAGTCCCATTTCGTGGCCACTTTTGAGGTTTCACGATTTCTTTTCATGTCCTATTGGACTAAAAACAAAACTTTTCCAATGTTTTCATGGCCCCTGCACTACCTGGGTGCTCACCTGCAATGTGAGAAATCCCACTGCAATTTGCTGCTTCAGGGCACAGTTTTTTCATCCAAGCTTATACCAAATCAGGTAGAGTATGGATTTAAACTTGGGTCTCCTACATCCCCGACTGGTACTCTACCCACCAAGTGTATGAGATAGTCTCCTTCACCTTGCCCTGTGCCCCAAAACCTTCTCAATGAAAGTGTTATGGAAACCAACCAGCTGCAAAAAAGACTGGCTTGGAAGACAGTAACTGGTAGTTAATAACCAGCTGGAGGAAATGAGGGCCAGAGGTAAAGTTAAAACTTTAAACCATTGATAAGATCAATGTGTGTGTGAAACTGTGCCCTGGGCGTTGCAGAAGATGCTGCTGCTAAACAATAAGCCATTGGGGATATTCACATATAGCTCCAAAGGTGCCTGCTAGTTTTGGTGTCTGGGTGGATGCCCTGCGTCTGGCCCTGAGGAACTGCCTTTTTTTTTAGCAGTCATTATTGACATTATAAACCATGTGAAATTAATACGTGAAGAAAATAAAGTTATGACTAGAAACAGGTCCAAAACAACAAGCTGGAGCTGAACACCCTCCTGTATCTAATGGACTGAAAAAAACCTTTGGATCGAAACACCCCAAGGTCTTAGGATACTTTCAATCTGTATATGGACTTTGCAGCTCAGGCCCATCTCTAAGGAACTAGTGTCTAGTGTTGTATTCCTTTCATCTGTGTTATTTTTCACAGTACCAGTCTTTTCTTACCAGTGGAAGCCCAACAATGGGAAAGCAAAGCTTCACTCTGAAAGTCCTGTTAGGTACGCAGTGGTACATTCTACAAGTGTGTGAGACTCAGTGGCTTGGCTTTGCAAGGATTTCATGCAAATCTTTTCTTTGGTTTGGATTTATAGTTGAGCACTCATTGAGGTTGAGTTGGAAGTTTGGGTGCAGAGTACATTTGAGGCCTGTTCAGATCAGGTCTTTTTTTTAACTGAACCAGTTCCCCATTTTTCCTGCATACCCATAAAAGAAAGAGGGAATGGAAGGGAAAGCATCTCCCTGTAGCTGTCTCTGGATACAGGTAACTTACCTGATGAGTTAAAGATATCGTAGGGGCTTGATTCCCCCACAGCCTTGCCCCTGGTGTGGTCATTCACACCTCTGCAGGGTGTAAAATGGTATAAGTGACTCGAGAATTCTGATCTGATAGTACTGTACATCAACTCTGAATGAGGACCAATCACTACACAAGGTGCAAGTCAAACTTTAGATCTCCTAGCTAGACTGCAAAGTGCTAGAAGCCCCTCTCCAGAGAGGACCAGTGACCAGGATCACTCAATGCCACTCTCACAGAGGGGATCAGGACTTTGAAGGTGAATCAGCTAGTTAGGAATCAGAAAATGTTTTCAGGAGCATTAGCTAGAGGGAGATGAAAGCTATTGTGAACATTGCCCTAGCTAGGATTACTGATAACCTCTTCTGGCCTTAAGAGAGCTCATCTCCATCCCAAAACATTCCTAGCAACAACTGAGTTTTTTCCATAGAGAGAGTCAGAGGATGACACACAAGAGGAAAGCAAACAAAAGATCAGGAAATGCTACATTTTAAATCAGGGATGTAGGAAAGGTGAGTCTAGAACGGAAATAACTGAAGGGAAGAGGGACAAGCATCAAACAGTACAGACCAGGATAGACTGAACAGAAGAAGCGAAGAATGAAAGGGACAAAATAGGAACAGAAAGAAATAAAATACAAGAGGGGAAAACATGATGAGAGCTTTGAGCAGCTGCACTGGAGCGGTAGAGGATTGTTTGGGAACAGTGATAAAATGCCACGTGTGATGTCTGTGGGGAAACGGATGAAGCCACTCAACATAAATACGGGTTTAATATAAATGATAATGCTGGCAGTTAGCAGATCTATCAGTCAAATATGCAAGACAACTAGTCCATTGGGGGGAAGTTTCAGGTTGTGTGTCTGGTAATGGGTATAGAGAGGACAGAGTCAGCCTCAGCAGAGGGTATCATTGGCTAAACCATTGGTTATAATAGTGATGTGTGTTATTTCTGAAAGCTTACTTTCCAAATTCTATCCCACTTTAACTGCCAGTGCAGCAGGATTATCAGTTCATACCTAGACTAAGGCAGCTTTTCAGAAGATTGAGGAATGGGACGCTAATCAGAACCCAGTGCAGAGAGGCCTATTGGAACTGGAGGCTTGTGTATCCATGAAAGGAGAAAGGCAGGGAAACAAAACACAAGACAGCCTCATTCTCTAGTGCCCTGCACGTTGTGTGGTCATTTGCACCAGGGCAAAATGAGTGTAAAACCCTACCACGCTGATTCAGCTGTTTTACACCCACTGTTCACTCACTTTGCACTGGTGTAAATTACTGCACCAGAAGCAGAACAGTGGAGAATCAGACCCAGATATCCTTTATTTTTAAAGCCTAGTGTCTCCTTCATGAATCCCAAATACACATCCTCATGCTGCTGGTATCCTCAGTAGAATCTTTCACTAGAGCTTTTCCTCATGCTCTCTTAATCCCATAGCAAATATTTTGCTAACTAATCATCGCACACAGAACTACTGCTTGATATTTTGTAACTAATAAAACTCATTTTCACAGCTGTGCAACAGATGGGATTTAAACGAAGAGCGCAGTTGCAGCGTATGGCCACAGCTCTATGGTGGAGAGGGAGCCCAGACACACCATGAGGATGGGAGTTCTGGGAAACATTGTGCTCCAGGCAATGGTGAGATCCACATGCTCTGCCATCTTTGGAGAGGATGTAGCATCTGCCCCCTGCTGCACCCCGTCAGCTCTGATGGCCAAGGTGTGTGTGTGCATTTGGAAGGAGCAGCAGCCCATGTAGTCAATAGGAGCAATAGCACATTCACCACTGTCTGGCATTAGGGAGTAAGTGGGAAGCTATGAAATCTGCTTTCCTGCTCAACACGGATCATTTGACTGTTCTCCCATCCTCCCAACACACCTCTACATCATTTGGCTGCTTTATCCACTTGTCACATCCTGCCTGACGCGAAGAGTCAGCTCCTCAGCTGGTGCAATCAGCATAGGCTAGCTGCATTGAAGACAATTGAGCTAGGTCAAGTTGCACTAGCTGAAGATCAGACCCCCCAAAGGGATTGTCTCTGAGACTTGCAGAGGCCGCTTTAGCTGCACGCAGGCCTAGGCTGAGGGCAGCAGATTTCTGAGGGTGGCAGATTGGTGGTGGCATTGGATGAGGTTTGGCGGGGAAGGGGGCTTCCCAAGGAAGGGGAAGGCTGCCAGTTAAAACTATAAGGACCAGGAAACTCCCTCCTGGGCTGCCAGGGAAGTTCTCCCACCCCTTCCCCAGTTGCTCCCACCCCTGGTGCGAATATGTTTGTGGCCACAGCTTAGGCACTGAGAGGCTCAGGGCTGGTCCTGGCAGCACCACAAGCACTGCTGGGGCTTCGGCCCCAAGCACAGTGCCCCACCCGCTCCATGTCATCACCCAGCCTGCACCTGCTGCTCTGTGCCCAGCCCCCACAGCCCTGCTGCCTGGGCAGCCCTTGGCCCCTGCCCTGGATGCCACATCACTGCTGCCACTTCCTCTCCACCGTGTCTGGGCTCGGGATGCACTGCCGCCATGTGGGCTCCGAGCCTGAGAGCGAGGCGCTCATTCAGAATGGTGCGAGGGTTGCTGGGGGCCAGGCTAGGATAGCAGAGTGTGGGGGGGGGCTGGTAGCGAATGGGTGAGCTGGGATTGCTTAGTGCGGGGGGATAGTCATGCAGTGTGGGCTGGGCTGGGGTGCTGAGGGCGGGGTGCTGGGCAGGGGCTGTGGGTTGCAATGGGGTTGCTTAGTGTGGGGGGCTGAGCAGGGGGTGCAGACTGTGGCTGCTGAATTCAGAGCTTGGCAAGGGATATGACCTGGGGAGAGCAGGGAGCTGGGCAGGGGACAGGTGGTGTAGGGGCCAAGATGTGTGGCTGGACTAGGGGAGCCACCTACATGGCTAGGCCAGGGATGCAGGGGCTGAAGGGGACCCCCCCCACACACACACATTCTGTCCAGTGAGAAGGAGCCTGCCACCCCCTGAGTGAAGGGGATCAGCCCCCCACCCCAGCCCAAGTGACTTCATGCGGGGCATTGGGGGACCAGTCTGTGCTGCCTGTTAACCAGGCTGGGAGCTGCCCCCTGCCAGTGTGGGGGTCGTATTGCACCTGGGATCTGTCATAGGGCCCAGCCAGCTCCCTAAGGTTTGGGAGTGGTGGTGGCAACAGCAGCAAAGGAGGCGCTGGAGGTTCTCTACAAACTTCTAAGATGGTAGAAGGTGGGCCTCGGGTGAAGTTTTGCCTGGGATGACAGATTGTCTTGAGTGGCCCCTGGTTATTTCTCTGTACAGTACTTAGCTCAGTGGGGTCCTGATCCCTGATAAAGGTTTCCAGGTACCACTGTAACTGAAATAAGCCTACGTGCAGTCATAATGGATACCTGCAATCCACACAGGGTTCAAAAAAGGCTTCTGGTATTTGCCCTCTAGCTTTTAAACACACTCATGTTGTGCAGGTGTCACCTATAATTACAGTGTTACTGTGTTATAGTACAGAATTATTGCTTAGTTATGCCCGTTGTAAAATGAACTTCTTTACATAAAAATAGCTACATCAATTCCAGAACTACAAGGGGAGAAAACAAGTAAAACCACTACCCTAAAATCTGAATGTAAAATTAAAACAATTAATAAAAAGTAGAAATGAAACTGTCAAAGTATTGAATTGTTTTTATTTTTGCGTTCATAATTGTATTCACAGTTTCTCTTCAGAAACACATTTTTGCTCAATTCAAAATATAGACATTCTGGTAAATGATTGCATTTTGATTTTGGAGTATCCGTCCCTGATTTTCCACTCTTTTAATACCATTTTTACATCAGTGTAAGTCCATTGAGATGAAAGGTGTTAGTTCTGATTTACGCCAGGGTAAATAGAGAATAAGGCCCACTGTGTCATCTGGGGATACATCTGGCACTGAATCCACCATCCCACTCGTGATGGGCAGTTGAGTATGGGAACCACTACATTCTCATATTCAGGGCCTGATTCTGTGGTCTTTACCTCACGCGAAAACCCCTTTGACTCTAGTGGAAGGTTTGCAACCTTTTGTGCTAGGACTGCAACATTGTGGCCTTGCTGCTATTTTTAACTAAGTGCCTTTCACACTTTGGGTATGTCTACACTAAAAACTTAAGTCGACCTACCTGCCTTGGGTCGGTGGTGTGCGTCCTCACCAGGAACTGTAGTGTAGACACTGACATAGACAAGCAGCCTTACGTCACCTTAACTGTGTAGTGTAGACCAGGCCTTAGAAGAAAGTGCTGTAAATTTCCTAGCAGAGATGTGTCCAAGCCACAAAGTTCAGACCAAATTTTCAACAAGGTCAGTGTGTTTGAATTTGGGGTTCTGGGTCAGACCCAGTTCTAATTCACTTACAACTAATAATAGCACCTGATCACTTTCTTATGTTAAAGGCCAGACTAGGGACTATTGTTTAATCACATTTTTCACAGTCTTAGTTCCCTCTGATCTTTGCAGCTTTCCAGTGGGTAAAGTTGCAGAGCCATTAGGCTCTTACTCCATTGAGGTCTTGCCTGCACATCACAACATTGTGATTCAAATCTTACAACACAAATGTAACTTTAATTTATGCTCCCAAACAGGCTTAATCCATCCCAGACATAGTTCATTGCTTACTTGCGCAGATCTCTTTGGACCACCCATTATGTGCCACTGTTTGCATTCAATCTAAGCTATGCGTCAGTGTGGAAGTTTAATCAGAACTACAGTAACATGGGCAGATCAAGAAGAGCTAGCAAGAAGCTGCTTTGCGTCTTTGCAGAAGAGTTGCCAAGTGTTGAATTTTGTATTACTGGTAACTACCTCCTTGACACTTAAACTCAGTCTGCTTTAAACTGCATTTGCTTTAAACTGAAAGGCTGTGTCTGTTTCCGGTCCAAGGCCCACTAGGTCTGTTGGTCACACTGGTCACTCCAAGACTGACCATTGTCAAAGGTGTCACTGCCATTGTTCCTAGGCTCCTAGGGGTCAGCTCATGTCAATGACGTTCCCAGTTGCACTGGAAAATTATTTCAAAGTTGAACAGGGGAATCATTATTGGGTGTCAGGTAGCCAAAGGCATCATTAGTAGGCTTCAAATTCTGGGCTGAGATCCCTGGTATGAGTGACTGACAGTACAGTACAGCAGTACAGTGACTGCTAATAGCAAAAATCCCCTACAGCCAGTGATGGGACACTAGATGGGGAGGGCTCTGAGTTACTACAGAGAATTCTTTCCCAGGTCTCCAGCTGGTGGGTCTTGCTGTGACATGCTCAGGGTCTAACTGATCACCATATTTGGGGTCAGGAAGGAGTTTTCCCCAGGCCAGATTGGCAGAGATCCTCGGTGTTTTATGCCTTCCTCTGCAGCATGGGGCACTCGCTCATTTAAACTATAATGGTGAAGACTCTGTAACTTGACATTTTTAAATCATGATTTGGGGACTTCAGGAATTTAGCCAGAGGTTAGGGGTCTATTACAGAAAGGGGTCGGTCATGTTCTGTGGCAGGAGGTTAGACTAGATGGTCTTAAAATCTGAGTATGTATCTCACAAGTAATGAATAACCTTTAAAACATAAGTGAGGGCAAGTATCTGTTATTTTAATCCATTGTTTCAATCCCTTCCCAACAGGGTATGTGGTTCCAGGCAATATAGTGTTTTAGAAGTAAGTATTTATCCTTCACCCCATACCTCTTTTGTGGTTTGTCCTTTGTGCTAATTACAAATAAAATGGTTAAGATCAGTCCTCCTATCCATTCTCTTGTGCACTACCCGTTCCATTTGGGGAGCGAGGGGGTGGAGGGGGGGAATCAGATTACACAGTAAAGATCACAAAGACCAGATTAATAGGGAATCTAGCTCTGCTAATATTTAAATCAACAAGCATTACAAAGCAACAAATTAAAAACACAGAAAACCCTCCCAGACATCTTGATCACAGCTGCTGTAAAAGTCATTCTGCAGGACTGGAAGGATTCCTCCCAACTAAATATTGATCCCTGGACACATTCTATACTTACGGCATTCAAATTTGAAAAAGTATATGGTTTGGAAAAACAATAAGCTGAACATGTTTATGTATTTCGACTACATGGTGGTCTGATTATGACTTTTTGAATGAAACAATAGCCACTTCATACTACAAGTATATGTTGTAGTGTATGGCTGTGTGACCCAATCCTATCCTGTGTGTATGTGTAGTACACATACTAGACAGGCAATAGATGATGGGAAGGTAATAAAGTCTTTATTGGTGACTCTGGGAGAGCCGCATTACCCTAGAGAGGCTGTGACATGACACCCTACAAATATTGTCCTGTAAATATGTTGTTTCATCTACAACCGAAACAAAAAATATGTTTGAACAACAAAGTGCTGCCACATTGAGGGTTATATTATTCATACTAAGTAATTGTAGCGCAGTAGCACCTAGAAGTCCCTGACCCACACCTTCCACACACATAACAAAAAGACAGTCCCTGCATCAAAGATCCTGTGTATATGGGCCCTTAGATCTGTGGATGATCTGGACAAACACAGGCTGATGAGTGGTTTTGCATAGATCATAAAAAATGTGCTGTTTCACACAGTTTTGCCCCCAAACAAGCTAAAACTCAGGGGTTCTGACTGAGTTTTTCACTGAGATCAAATATCAGTAGGATAACAATATTTAATTTCAAAACTTAATTGTCTATTCAGTAAATTTGTGTTTAAGTCTTAGGGATCCTTTTGGGAACAATATGTTTGAGTTCTGCAAAGCTACCGATGACACGTTGGTTAATTTTACTTCAACAATAGGATTGTGCAGGTAAAGCACTCTCTCTGCAGGGAAAAGCATGAACGATTTCAATGTATCCACAAGTGCTCAGGACATTCATTAAAGAAATCCTAAGAGCTTCACTGACAGTGGGAATTGAACAATGTGATTATGAGTCTCCAGGAACATCTGGTGTTTGCTGTTAACATCAGCATTTGGGATTGCCAATGTTAGTTTGTATGTGCAATTGCCTATGGAGATGGAAGAATGTCAAATGTTCCTGGGCAATCATCGAATCACAGTAATGTAGGGCTGGAAGGGATCTTGAGAGGTCATCTAGTCCAGCCCCCCTGCACTGAGGCAGGACCAAGTATACCTAGACAATGCCTGGCAAATGTTCTTTAAAAATTTCCAATGATGTGGATACCACAACCTCCCTTGGAAACCTGTTCCAGTGATTAGCTATCCTTATAGTTAGAAAACTTTCCCTAATATTTAACCTAAATCTCCTTTGCTGCAGATTAAGCCCATTACTTTTTGTCCTACCTTCAGTGGCCAGGGACAATAATTGACCACCATCCTCTTCATAACAGCCCTTAATATATTGGAAGACTGTCATCAAGTCACCTCTCAGTCTTCTTTTCTCAAGACTACACACTGACCAATTTTAAAACCTTTCCTCACAGGTCAGGTTTTCTAAACTTTTATCATTTGTGTAGCTCTCCTCTGGACACTCTCCAAGTTGTCCACATTTTTCTTAAAGTGTGGAGGCCAAAACTAGACACTACTCCAGCTGACGTCTCACCAATGCTGAGTACAGTGGGACAAGTACCTCATGTATCTTAAATACAACACTCTTGTAAATATATCCCAGAATGA